AAAATACCTACAAATTAGACAAAAGTTAGACACAAAGGGATCTCATATCTTAAAACATATAGTTTTTTTCTTTATTTGAAACATAGTTTCTTTATTACGTTTTAAAAATAGGAAATAATTTTGTTTTATTAAAAAATATATTTTAAAGCACGATTTACCGATATATTTCATATAATTGTTTAATTCTATCCATTTTGTTTTAATATTGGCTTTCAAAGGATCCACTTTGATAGTTATTTTGTTATCTTTAAATATATATTACATGTTTTAATTTGTGAAAATAATATTCATAATGGAGAAGTAAGAATTTATTTGTTTTTATAAATTTAACCTGTGAAATTAAACTTAACTCAAATTTGAATCTATAAAGTTAGTAAAAAACCTATATTAGGTGTAGAAAACAGATTTCCTTTTATTAAAGTTTAGATTTAAAAAAAATAGAAAAATATTTTTACAATGAATAACAAATACTATTTTCTTAATGTAGAGTGTAACTACTTATTTATACTTGAATCTTAGATATTTCTATCTAAAATATCATATATTTCTATATAAAATAAATCATCAGATAATACAAAATCTCACAAATAAACTAACATGTTTTAAAAGTATATTAGATCATGAAGTTAATTCCTCTTTATTACACGTTTGTATATCATATTCTTCAACTAATTAATATCATTCAATCAAAATATTTATATCACCAACAATTACTCTAGGTTAAGCTTTAACTTTATTTAATCACTTGCTTATAAAAAAATATTATATTATCGCTAAATCACAACTTTACTCGACCATAATTTTTTTTTGTTAGAGATCTCAATAACTCTTTCAATAACTCAATCACTTCTAAATTTTAATAAAATAAATCTATAAACAATTTACTCACTTAACAACCTTAATACTTAGAAGCCTTTTACAAAGGTTTACTCAAGTAAAACAACCATTTCAATTCTCTGTGTGTTAAAGTTTAGAATTTCATTCAATAAAATATACATAAATTCAGAAAACTTAAGAGATATATTACATCAACCAATGGGTCCATATAAATAATTCTACTTCTACTCCTTTCTCATATGAAAAATACTTCTTCAAGTAGAACAATTTAACTAAATTGATATATTAAATTTATTCAACAACTCTTTCAATACAAAACTTTGACAAATTATTTTTCATTCGGTGTTCAAATCATTATCCCTTGTTCATTCAAAACAGAATATCATAACAAGTATTAGTCAAATATACATAAAATCTCCAAAACATATCACATCCTCAATATATTTTTTTCCTCTTTTCTTTAAATTTTTGGAAACAGCGACTACATTTATATATTATTTAAAGAATATAATATCATATACAAAATAAAATAGGAAATAATCTGAACACAAAATGTAAACTGCTTCAAATAATGGCAGGTAAAGTGTTATTATTCTTATAAATAAACTGACCAATTATTATGGCTTAATATCCTATTTTGTCCCCAGTTTCGCTCGACAATGTCAAATTAGTCCATTCTTTATTATATCAATGAAATCTCTTCCGTTAAATCCGTACAAACAGCGTTAATAGAAGAGAGAGAAAAATAATTAACGTCGTTTGTACGGATTTAACGGAAGGGATTTCATTGATATAAATTTTATTAAGTAGAGACATAATTGACACACGTTTTAAATGATAGACTAATTTGATATTGTCAAGCAAAACTGGGACAAAATAGGATATTAAGCCAATTATTACATTTGCGAGTTGTATCCAAGAAAAGCATACTCCTCCGTGGTGGTGGAAGCACCATGTGCACCACATTCTAACGACCAAAATTCGCAAAGCATGATTCCTAGTATAGGATATAGGCCTCAGCAAACACGAACATATCTCACCTCATGAAAAAAATACGAAGGAAATTTAGATATACAAGTAATATTTGCGTTGATCCCTTCTATTCAGTTTTTTCACACAAACTTTATATAGCATCTACCCTCAAGTTGGAAAATTTTTAAGAGGCTTTTGGTAATTATTTATGCCTTTTAGTTTTCTTAAAACTCTAACTTCATTCATTTTTATAATATAACTCTACTGTTATAAACGAAACCAAAATAAACTTAAACTTAGTAAATACTCAAAACGAAACCAAAATAAACTTAAGATTCGTCCGACCTATTATAAGCACGACGGATGACCAATCTGAATAATATTCTTATTAGAAAAACATTAACAAACATATTTAAATGTAGGTATTAATTAGTGTAATGGATCGAGGTTGGATGGTGATTAAGATTTTGTTAATCTTAAACCTATCTCAAAATTATAAATAGTTAAGAGTAAAAGGTAGATGATGACATTAACGTGTATTTAAGACTATTATTATTTAATGACTTAAGCATCAGAATCTGAAAATGTTTGTAGTTACATAATTCTATCCCTGAAACAATAATTAAACTCCAAATTTTCTGATAATAATTTTAAATAAATCAAAATAATATTCTTGAAAGCAATTTTAATTTGTTTGCATTAATATTTTCTGGAGTAAATCTTTTCAAGTTACTATAAAAATGTAATTTAGTTTTTATGTGTTAATATTAAAATTAGTTATCATATAAAAAATTAGTTATACTTTAATAATAATATGTAGAGACTTATTTAAAAAGAATATAAAAAGATGGAAGAAAACATAATTATTTATTAAATATCATTTATAAACTAATTAATAAATATACACTTATCTGAGGAGAAAATAGCATTCCTTTTTTAAACAAATGCCATGTTAGAAAATTGATGTTAACATCCAATTTTATATAGCTAGGTTTTGGTACACTGGAGTAGCTCCCATTTCTCCAATCTAGGTGCATGTCTACTAAATTCAGTAGGTTTCACCTAACGTGGACATTCATCGTGGACACACTCTTATCTCATCATTATTATGTTAATCTACTTAGATAAAAAATATTTAATATATAAAAATCACTAGCATATTCAGACAATTTTCTTTTTATGTAATATTTCATGTCCTATTTTATTTGATGTTTTAGAAAAAGTCTCACTGATATAAATAAAATATTATACTTTTTTGTTAAATATCATTTCATTTACTATAAAATAAGGAAAATAAGGGAGAAGGTGAGAGTTTATCTAAGAAATTATATAATAATATTACGAAGTATAACAGTAATATTTTTAAAATTTCTACATAAAAATTTCAAACGTAAAACGATACCCAGTATTTTATTGTTAGCTTAGTTATTTGGTCTTCGTTTTAATAAAGAAGTTTTAAGTTGAAATTTATTTTTAAAACAGTGTCAATTCTAACATAATTTTTGTAGAAGTAGTATTTTTTCTTTAAAAGAAATTATTAACCAAGTTAATAGTATGTCATGTGTTAATATATGTTTTTTCATATGAATGTCATGTGACAAGGTAATATCGTAGATTGGGGTAAAGTGTCATTATTTTGATTTTAATTGAATCTTTATATATGTATTTTTTATTCAATTTATTCTTAACTTTTTTCATAATTGATCCAAATCAAAAATAAATTTATTATATATATATATATATATATATATATATTAAATCTTTTTTAACATATTACATTATTATATATTATTAATCCATATTTTTTAATAATTTTTTTATATAATTAAAACTAATTAAGTATAAATATTTAAAAAGAAAACTAAATATTTAAAACTAATATATTATTATTTCATATATTTTTTATAAGAATAACTTAGTCAAAACTATTTATGAAAATAATAAATTTAATAACTTTTTAATTGATATCAAATTTATTATTTATATAAATGATATAATAATATTTATATTAAAATTTAGTAGTAAAAAGTTATGATTAACAAAACCTAGGTTAATAATAATTTGTTAAAAAATATTTAAAAAAATTAATATAATATTTATATAAATAATAAATTTGGTGTTAGTTTAGAAAGAAAAATTATTCCTCTATCTTGAAAATTTTAGAACTAAATTAAATAAAAAATATATATAGAAACTAAATTGAAATTAAGAGAATGTCTTTGATACGTGTATAAAGAAACTTGACACGTGACAACAATATTTAAAAAAAAAATTATAAATTAATATGTAGCATATGTAGTTAATGTTTTGATAATTTCTATTTTAAAAAAAAAAACTAATTAAAATACTTTTCCCAAAATTAGGATTTTTAAAAACATAAACTAATTTAAAAATTTTCACCAAAGTGATGAATAAACGAATAATTAAACTTTTATTTTTGTTATTAGTCAACAATAACTACTATTGTAATGATAAATAAAAGTACAATTGAGATAAAATAATTAGACTTTAAAATTTTAAAATGTTAATAATATTAAGAGAAAGACCGAAGACTAAATCATCAATAAGTATGAAACGTAGAAATTATAATAATAGAGCTTTAGTGGAGAAGATAGATGTAATTTGACTAATAAGATGCCAGCCTTACAAGGCACACAACTCTAATTATAAACAATCCAACTTATGCCTGTTAATAATAATTATAATCTAACTTGAAATTGAACTTATCTTTAATTAAACTCCCCTTACATGGCATTGGGAGATTAATATCTCTAAAAGCACACTTATTTCAACATAATATTAAGGTTATGAATAGATATTAAACATCTAATTAATGTCTTAAATCTTAAAAAGAATATCATGTGACGTTTTGATGCGTTTCATTTCTCTAACTACTTATTTATTAGTTTTAACAGTATTAGTCAAAGGTAATCTCAGAAAAAAAACATTTAATATAATATATATTTGATCATGAAATATAATAATATGTTTTGTAATAATTATAAAAGGAAACATACTTATCTAAAATGTTGTGTCCATATTAAAATGTCAGTGATTCAGTTTTTTTAGATATTTGAAGAACTAAAATTGCTGATGTGTTGAAAAGGAAGCAGTGGTAATAAAATATTAGACGTATTAAAAAAGTGAGTATTATAAGATATTTGAAATGAAAAGGAAGAAGGATATGTTATAGTATGATGATAAATGTAGTTGAATGATCTCTCGTAACACAAAACAAGGCATAATGGAAGCTTAACAAAGATCACAGTCTTAGAAAGAGGGAAAGGGTGGTAAAATCGAAGGAAGAAGAAAAAGAAGATAAAGATGGAGAATTATTCATACCAATCATACCCTGATTCCGGCGACTCCTCTCCACGCTCCAGAGAGATCGACTTTGACAACCCTCCTCCTCCATGGGACGAACAACAACAACAACAGCAGAATTACAAGGTAAAGTTCATGTGCAGCTACGGCGGCAAGATCCACCCACGCTCCCACGACAACCAACTGTCATACGTCGGCGGCGAGACCAAGATCCTCGCCGTGGACCGCTCCATAAAGTTTGGAGCCCTGCTGGCCAAGCTCTCGGCCCTCTGCGAGGTGGCGCCACAAGAAAGCAACGGCAGCAGCCTCACCTTCAAGTACCAGCTCCCTGGCGAAGACCTCGACGCTCTTATCTCTGTCACCAACGACGACGACCTCGACCACATGATGCACGAGTACGATCGCCTCTACCGCGCTTCCGCTAGACCCGCCCGCATGCGATTATTCCTCTTTCTCGCCGATAATCTTCCTTCTCCGCTTCCTGCTTCCGCACCGCTCCAACCTGTGATTAAACCAAATAACGTTGATTTCCTCTTCGGTCTCGAGAAGGGCGCCGGTGTCGCCGTCGCGGCTCAGCCGGCTCAGATGCCGCCTGCGGCGGTCAAATTTCATGATCCGGTGCCGGAGCCCGTCGCGCCACCACCGGAGTACCAGTCTCGGCTGAATTTAAACCCTGTGGACAGGGTTTCGGCCTCGGATCCGAGTGCGATTCAGCGCCAGTTGCAGCAGTTGCAAATTGCGGAGAGCGAGCAAGGCGCGTACCGGAGGAAGAGCGAGGATAATTACCCTGCCGGTGATTATTACGTTCAGAAGCTGCCAGAGAAGTTCCCTCCGGCGAATTTACAGCAGAACGCCCAGGGATATTGGTCGGAAAAGCATGTTTCAGGCGAAGCATATCCACCGGCGGTGTCCGCTGCATCCGGTGGAGGAGATGCGCCGGTTTACATGATACCGGCGCCGGGGGCGTTCTATCATGCGCCGGTGGTGCGGCCTCCAGCCACCCAGGGGTACTACGCGGTGCAGCGAATGGCTTCAGATGGTTACCGTGAAGCGGCAGTGTACGGCGGTGTCACGCAGGCAAAAACGGCGGCTCAAGCAAGCTTGGCGCCAGGGCAGCAACCGGTTAAGACTCCCGCGTATACGGAAGGATTCGGTATGATGCGGCCCAGTGGGATAGTGGATAATACGGGTGCGCCGTACGCACAGGTAGCGTACGATAGTGCAGGTGGGAGACAGGTTTATTATACTGCACCGGGTGGCGTAGTGCACGCTCCTCCGTACCAAGGCGTTTTTCCACCGGTCACCTCTGATCTGAGGCAAACTGCGGTGACCATGGGTCAAGATGTTAAAGTGTTGAACAAAGTTACTCAAGGTTCAGTGTGATTATTGAAAAATAACGGTTCAGTGTGATTAATTACGGATTAAGACTGTGCTTATTGCTGAATATGCTTCTCTTTTTATTTCTTTACTATCTTTTGTTTGAAATCCTATTTATGTAATAGGAATAATATTATTAAGTTTTATTTTTCGCCTTCTATTTTTGTACACTAAGTAATGTTATATATTATAATGCTATGTAAAATTAATCTGTCTTGATTTAAGTGTTTTTCTTTCTGTTGACATTTTTTCATTGTCACGCGATCATAACGTTTCTCCCGCAGAATTCGGTCGCCATGGATACTTGCTTTTAGAGACAGTAATTTCTTTGTTTTCCATCTTTGGCAATGTCGTTTTTGGTGTTTTTTTTTCTTGGCATGATCTCGTAGGTTATTTCTTGTCCCAATATTAAAATAAATGTGTGTACCTTCCATTAACGAAGAAACACTACTAGCATTCTTTTAAGTAATGATGTTCACGCCGATATCATGGTTGGCCATTGTTACGCCATCATCTTTACCAACGTAAAAAGGAAAAAAACTTAACAGGGAACAATCACTTTTCTCGCCGATTCACGTCTAATCCTACCCTGTCTTTGTTTGGCCTCTAAAGTTCTGCTTCAACATTACACACATGCCAAAAAACACTTTATTAAGAAATTGAAAATTCATTTATTTATTTTTTTAAAAACAGCCCTTTGCATAATTTTCTTTTGTACTGTTCCTACACTGAAATCGAGTTTAAGAAAAATCCCCCGATACTCGAATTTTGAATATCGAGTCTCATTCATGACTTGAACTTTTCCTCTTTTCTTTAGAAAAAGGTTACTACCATTCTAAATTTCTTTCTATTTAGCATCGATCTCATAAGGTAGATTATAAAAGCTTTTAGCAAATTCAAACATAGGGGGGTGTACACAGATTGTTTTATTGAAGATTCCAAAAAGGATTGCCCCTCAAAGTCAATCACTTTTTTTTTTTAGTTTAGTAAGATATTTATCTTCGTCAGTAACCAGTAACCTTGTCTCCTTGATCTTTACTCATGAACGCTTACACGATATAGTTTATATTGAAAAAGGAAGAGTGTAGATAATGAGAGATTATAATTATAAATAAATAATAGGGTGAAATTATAGAGTGAAAAGTTAAATAAAGAAAAAAATGCTATTATAACACGCTTTTACATTTATTGATATATAATATAAAGATAAAATGATCTAAAAAATATAAAATTTTATATTTTTTTGAAAAAAAAGAAAATAAAAAATGAATAAGGATAATATCGTAAAAAATTAAAGTATATCAAGAAAAGTTAGTTTAGAATGGCAGAAAGGGCATTCAAATGTGGGAAATTAAAAAATTGTCTTGGTCTTGGTCCACCTTCTATCCTAGACTTTGAGTGTGCATCAAAGGCTAGTCCCACAGAAAGGAACAAAAGCGTTGCAATCAGAGCTCAGATATTATGGCCAATTAAGATAATTTCGGATAGAACCTTTTCATTTCCCATATAGCAGCGTTTGACGTGTGCGCAGGGTTTAGTTAGAGGCTTCCATCCAAAACAAAATCATAATTATTTCGTTACGGTAGAAAAAACAAAAAGCGCATCCATAACAGGTGGGATTACAATTTCGTTTTTTCAAACACCAGGTGTGCATTTTTTCAAGAATCAAACGCCCATGATTGCCCCCACCACATCCTCTTCCCTTTGAATTTAAGTAGAAGGCTGAGTCTCTTTCACCCCATTTTTTCTTTTCTTCAACATCCATTATGGCTTCACATTACCACAAGTCGCTGTTTTGATGACAAACTTCGAGGCGCCGTGGCTCTTTCCGCCAATATCTTTTGGAAAGGTGGGAGGAGTTGGTACTATAAATTCATTGTTTTTAAAATAAATAATAACAAAAATCTCAAAGATATTTCTAAAAAAATAAAGGATATGTTATTAAAAAAGCATAGATATAAAAACTACACTTGTATAATGTGTGAGAAGGTTGCTTGAAAAAGTCAACAAATTTGTTATATTCATAGCTGGAAATTTAAAACGAGTATCATTTTTACATTAAATAAATATTAAAATGTTATAAAATTAATTAAGCTTATTATTAAATTAATAGTGGTGTTAATAACAGTACTATATGGTGTGGACGATCCGTACCCAACATCATGGACGATCTACTGAAAGCGACCAACACAACAAGAAATAACCGACTGGTAGGCAGCTAATGGCGTTAATATGCAATAAAGGTGAGTAATTCCTAAATCACGCGGAGGGCATTTAATTAATGAGTAGTATCAGGCACATTATGCTGAATATAAGGAGGTCAACGAATGATTAGACACAAGATATGTAGCATTAAAGGGCATTTAATGACGTCCAATGGGCCGAATAATTACAAAAACCTATAAATACAGCACTGATAATCAGGTATTGGTTGGATTTTTCTTGCAGGTCACACCTGACTGAACCGGAAGAGGAAACTTAAAGAGTCATTCTCCCTGCACCTCACCACCCTCGTCCTGCACCTCCAAAAAAAATTATAATTCCAAAGTGTACCCCTTATCAGTCAACGAAGAGAGAGAAAAATATTGTGGTTAAAAAGTTTAGTAAAACTTTAAACCCTAAAACTTTAACTCCCCTTCTTCTTCCTCCGCATCTCACTCTCTGTCGCATCTCACTCCCTGTCGCATCTCACACAGCAGTCAAACCCTACACCTACACCCCCTCCTTCCTCCCTCTTTTTCTCTCTGTCCTTTGTCTCTGCCATCCCACGGTGCTTTGCTCGCGTTTCTCGTTTGTTTTCCTCACATATCTGAGCCGGTTCGGTTCGTGGGTCGTGTTCGGAGAGCTAGCTGGAGAAAGGATCAAAACCAAGGATAAACACAGTTCGAACTGCGGTAAGCACAAACCGCAATTCGATCTGCGGCACACATATAACCGGGGCACATCGGACTTCGATCTGCAGCAGCAAGAGGCCGGACTTCGATCTGCGGCAGCAAGGGGCCGGACTTCGATCTGCGACACCGGACTTCGATCTGCGACACCGGACTTCGATCTGCGACACCGGACTTTGATCTGCGACACCGGACTTCGATCTGCGGCACCGGACTTCGATCTGCGGGAGGCGTTTTTTGAGACTTAGTTTTTTAATATTGGTTATGATATTTTTTTTTCAATTGTTTATTTTTTTTTCAAATATTTTTTTTTTTCAATTGTTTATAACCAACAAATATTTTTGTGGTTGAGAGTTAGGAAAATGGTTCGAGGTTAAAAAAATTAAATTCATTAATTACCGTTTTGACTTTTTATTAAATGAAGGGCAAACAGGTAAATTTGGGGGTGCAGGATGAGGTGAGGGAGGTGTAGGAAGATTCACTCAAACTTAAAGGGTTAATCACACAACGAGAAGAGAACATACGTGGAACAGAGACCTCGAACCCACATTAAACATAAACAATAACTTATATATTTATTAAACTCTGATTTTATTGATCATATATTCTCCTTAAAAAATTCCGTAAAGTATATATCAATAAAGGCTTCCATCAACTTGTTTGACTCACTGTTGTTTTTCTTTTACTTGCTAAAATATTTGAAAAAAAAAACGACATAGAGCAAAAAAAAATTGTGGAGTAAATTATCACTTAATTGACTTTTACATTTTATCCGATGAGAAAAAGCATATATCTTATAATAATAATAATAATACTTTCCACAATTTACTAACTATAGCTTATTAATATATTCTTGTCTGCTTTTCGGAAATTTCTTATATATATATATATATATTCCTTAAGATATTTTATTATTTTATACAATACTTTTCTCAATTGAATGTTATCGGTATGTGTCTAGGATATTTATTTGTGTGTTTTCGGACATTTTTCATTAATCTTATAATTACTAACCTAATACGGGTTAGAAATAATTTAAGCTAAATTCGTATATACAACAAACCCATAAAAGTTGTGTAATCGTAAACATATGGTAATAGACTTACGCTAGATTAAAAAGTAAGATATTGCCCAAAATAGAATATAAAATAGTAAAAAAAAACATATTAATTATCACTAAGAAAACAATATTTTATTCATATAATACATCTGATTTAACCTATATTCTCACTGAAAAATTGAAACAAAAATAGAACAGTTAATCAGATCCAAGGGTTGGGTTGGGCTAGGAAATTGGATGGGAAAAGAAATGAGGGTCAAATAATTACTTTTTGCACCACAAAGTTTCTTTATGCACCTCTTTTGTGGTGCTGTAAATGCCAAAAATGGTCATGCTAGATTGGTTAGTATTAAAGAACGTAGAATTCATAAACATGTTATCGATTACGCAATCTTATATGTGTTTTATTACGTAAACTACATTGCATAATCCAAAATATATTTAAATTTAAAAATATATTTTACGTTACGTAATTCATAATATAATTTTCTATTTTTGAATTTCATAATTTAGAAACATGTTTCGAATTGTATAAATTAGAATATGTTTTCAAACCTATGTCATCAATAAATGTGCTACGGAATTTATAATTTAGAATGTGGTTTTAATTAAGTAAATACAATTTTGGACGTGTACTATATCTTATAGAATTCAATTTATAGATTGTATAATCAAAATACGTTTTTTACTTATAGATTACACAATCGTGAATAAATTTCATACTATATAATCCAAAAGATTTCAACTCATGGATAATTTAGACATTTTCACACCTACATAAGTATGTGAGAAAGAATGGAGGTGCTTAAAGAAGTATTTTCAAGAAACTCATAATAAGTTATTACATATTATGGTGGCCTTGTAAATCCCTTTTTATTTCCATTTTTTTCAATAGTTTTTTTTGTTATTTATACTATTTAACACACTGTTCAGTAATATCAATTTAAAACATTATTTAATGTATAAAGAAACTGACATTGTTAAATTAAAATACTATATATTTAATAGTTTTTTAAATTTTGAAATCAAAATGTATTAAAATTTATGATATTCTCAATTGAAAAAAAAACCTATACTTCAAGATTTTATCACGGCTGTCAGACAAACTAATCAGGAAAGATAAATATAATTAATACGTTTAATGATCATATTAAGGACGAATATACGGTATTTAATATACAATTGGTAATAAAATAGTGATCTCTTTATGAAACATATAAGTCAAAGTTTCTTTAACCTATTGGAGTGAATTGCGTTCTCAAAGAGAATTG